GGAAGGGGTGAATTCGGGCACAATTTCAGGTTGGCCCAGGCACTCTTTAGCTGGTCGCGGGGAAGACAAAATGCCCACACGATAAAGCCTCAACACAGATTAACAAATGAACTGTCTCTGCATGTGCACGTCCACCGTGTCTACTTTGGTTCGCTCGTCCCGCTGTGATTAGAACCGAGGTATCAAACTGGAGTCGACACGGACGTTTTTTTTAAACACAATTCTAAATTGTGAGGTTACTTAATTGCTTTGTACTCGCAATTATTACTGCAGTGCATGCAGCAAAAACAGCACAAAAAATAATTTTATTTTAAACTTTTTCCCTAATACCATATGCATGTAATGGAAACATAAAATCTAAGGAAATGCTATTAAATAAATCCCTGCTGTGTGTTTATGACTATTGCAGTAAAGCATAAGTATAAAGGCTGGGCAAATATAAGACGTTGGGCATTTACACTTACCCACTAAACCATCCATCCACCATTCTGTATTAAATTAGAAAGTTTCCTGAATTGTAAAGCGTTAAAATGAACAATAAAAAGCCCAACTTAATCGACACCAAACTATAATTAGAACAATAACAGTAAAATGATGGCAATTCCATTACAAGTTGATTGTTCATTAGACATCTTCCGACATAAAAGAAACAAGTGAATTTAGCACACATGATTGGTAGGCATTTAGCAAAAAGCCAATAACATCACAGAACGCCTAAATCGCGTGTTCTTTATAGACCAACCAACATACTAGAGGATACATATGTTAGCGCGTGGTCGAAATGTGTTAAAATAAATCTATGGCTAAATCAACTTCATGGTCCATTTAAACTCCACATAAAATGTGTATAGTTGTGTAAAAGAGCACTAAAATTTAGATAAAACAAATTTCGATGGCTTTGCTGAACGTACATTTCCTCATCATTTTAAAATTAATTGGCAAGAGACTTTGCACGTTGGTCCTGTGAAATTAAAACACAGTAAATGCTAATTAATATTTCAGAAGAAGAAAAAAAAAACTACTGGCCATAAAGTTTCTTCTCTCGACATCTCCAAATGCCATTTTTGTTAAGACAGTGGCCCAGAAAATGTAATCACTAGTCTGATGGGCAGCTCGTCTCTGAGTCGGGAATTGGGACACCCAGAAGAACAGAGGATGCTGCCAATTTACTACCATAATAGCAACCGAGAGGAAATTCTAATAAACAGCACTACCCGCAAAAGCACAGAAAAGTTCCCAGGGTGGTCGGCAAAACATCGGCTCAGTTTTGTCCCAGCAACAAAACTATGAGTTTTTGCCCAATGGCAGTTCACATGAACTTTACTGCAAATACAAATTACCCGTTCTCCTCTCTGGATTATTTCATTTTGTGTTGTAAATGGAATACTAAACCGATATAGCCAAACAAATTTATATTACCTATGCAATTATGGGATACTACATTCGGAACACGCTCTCGCCCTAATTGAGGAGGACAAATAAAATTAACATTAAAAAACTAGAAACAAAAAGGCTTCCCCAGCTGCAATATCAAGTTTCCCAGGTCTGTTCAAAGAATGCAATGGTAAAGCAACAAGCCGGAAACTGCTTCCTAATACCAATGTTGGTGGAAGGGCATCCACTCGTGGGGGCTCCTCGAGACAGCCCCCCTCTACAGAGTATTCGGGCAACTCTTCCACACTGGCGTCTTGGAAGTGATGGAAGTACCCACACTCGACCCCACGAGATGCCACCAACCGATCGATCGACTAACTGTGGCTGAAATCATCTATGCTGCCGGGAGGGTAGGATAAACGGGAATTGGAAACATGGCGAACTGAAAATACAGTCATACCTCGGTATACGACCGCTTTGGAATACGTCGAATTTGGTACACGTCGTGTTTTGACGAGAAAAAAATGTCTTGGGATACGACGTCTTGCTCGGGATACGACGCCTCGCTTGCTAGAACTTGTATGGGTCGGGATGAGTCACCGCGTACAGTACCCGCGTACACAATACTGTTACGGCTCTAACAAGCCGTAACAGTATTGCGTGGAATGACCAGACAATGTCACACTTCAGGAACATTCTTAGAAGAAGGCTAAAAACAAACTTCAATGGACAGGTTTTTAGTAAAACTCAAACCTGCTGAGCCTCGACCAGGTCCAAGTCAAGTTAAAAAAGACGGAAAAGAGAAAGAACCCCCCCAGAATTTCAGTTTCCTGAAGTTTTAATGGCAGGGGATTCTCCTTCCAAAAAATAACATCTCCTCCTGCTCCTCCTCCCCTTCCTCACCACCATCCTCGTAGGCTCTCAACTCCTCTCAGAAAGGTAAAGTGATGTTAAATTTTATTTTTTATTTCAATTTATTTTAATTTATTTATGCATTTATTTTAATGTATGTATGCATTTTAGTAATAAGTAGTGTCTACATTATTGTATACAACCCTATTAATGTATAATATGCCATATAAAATATAATTTCTTAACACTCTGGAACAGATTATTCCTTTCCCTTTATTTCTTATGGGAAACATTCGTTTGGTATATACGTCATTTTCGGTATAAGTCCTCCTACCTTCTGGAACGAATTAACGACGTATACCGAGGTACCACTGTAAATGTTTCCATGTTTTTACATTTTCTTTGCAAATGTCTCTACCGAGATGCATCTTTTTTGCACTCGAACGTACTAGAATGAAACTGTGAATGCAATGAAGTGAAAACATCCTATTACATTCGAGGGCAGATCAGGACTTGGACCCAGGAACTTTGAAGTATTGGCACAGCACTCTGTGGACAGGACATTATAACATTGGCCCCTCGAGTCATCTAAACAACCCTAATTCAATTGTTGGGTCTGATTTAACGACACCGGGCCGCCTCCGTGTCTGCTCAGAATTCTCTACAGAGTTTCTAAATAACACAATACCATTTGGGTTTATACAGCATCGAAATGTGACCGCATCTCAAGATTCTGTAGAGGACTAGTGGGCTTATTTATTTCATAGAGGGAGGTAGGCAGTGTTAGGTGGAATAAAAAAAAGATTGTTACGTGTGTATGTATGTATGTATGTTGAACTTCTTTCGCACTGTACGTAGCTAACCGCGCTAATCGGAGGATATGAGCAGGAGGGAGGGGTCGATAGCAGGGATGGCCGGGTGGAAGGGAACTACAAACAATGGGGGTAGCAGAGGAAAATGAGCAACCTACCACTGAACAAATGCTCGACTGAGGCCTGTAGCAGAGAGCCTTAGTTGCTGGAGGGGCAAAGAGTGGGGAGCACAGTGCCATGAGAGGGGAAAGGTAGACTGTAGCCAGTCCATGGAGGATGTTGATGACTGCGATTGGGACCTTAACTTTGACCCGGGATTAGGTTGGGAGCCAGCGGAGCGATTGGGGTAGTGAGGCAATGTGGTCTCGCTTATGGGCGCGGATGGGGAGTCCGGCAGTGGATTATTGGATCGTATGCAGTATGGAGAGCAGAGATTTTGAGAAGGCAGTGGAGAAGAGAGTTGCAATATTCAAAGTCAGGAGAGTGATGAAGCCACATGGAATGGAGGTTTCAGTGGCAGCTGGGATCCTGCAGAGTTGTGATGTGGGAAAAGTCACGATCGACGACAACTCCATCATTCAGCACATTCTTTGCCAGTGTACCGTCAAGAGTTCAGGAGGCGCATGCTACGGGTGGAAGTGACTTTTACAAAAAGGAGGAGATACGTTGAGAACAGCAGGGAGCCAAGGATGGAGGCTTGAGGTAAGAGCGCGACCAAGACGTGCGATGGAGATGTCTACATCGCCTTTGCAATTGTGGCAACTAAAGTCAGGAACCCCTTGCACTTTGAGGTCAGGACTTCCGAGACACTTCCAAATCTTCAAATCTCGACTAAAAACACATCTGTTTAAAATGGATTTCTCTCTTTAGTTATTTTCTAAACGTTTTTCTCACTCCTTCTTTCCTTGGTTGATGTTGAACTATATCCACCATTCCATGCATAGCGCCCTGTGAACGATTGTTTAAAGGCGCTTTATAAGGTTAAATTATTATTATAGATATGTAGAAGCTCAATGCATGTATGTATGGTTGAATTTCTTTCGCACCGCACGTAGCGAACCCTGTGAATCAGGTGCAGGGGAAAGGACAACAAACTAAACCCAAAAAGTGATGAGGGTAGAATGGCCGATGGTGTGAAACAGATAAAACCCCATTTCACCGCTTACGAATCTGAAACTAAATCTCCTTCTGATCACTACAAATGTCACTAGGCAGATAGAGGTACACTGCACTGCAGGCCAATTAGATGTATGAACGCGTCACACATTCTCCTCAGAAAGTATGAATTTTGATGCTTGGACACGCTCACATCTGGAGGCAATTACATTAATTCTTCAGAGATTCCCCAATTGAGCCTTTTTTGGCAAGGGTCAGGGAAAAGAAAAACCCATAAAAAGAAATGAATAATAAATAATTAACCCTACACATAATTCAATAAGCAAACACGCGCACACGCACTCGAATAGCCATGTATTATAAATTACCCGACCAATTCTGTGCTCGCGAGAGATAATATCAAATTAAAAGGAAATGAAGTAAATTGGGGAAACATGCAGCACCGCTGAACCTCATACGTTCTCGCCGCTTCCCACGGGCAGTGTTGCCAATCCGTGCTATTTACCGTGAAACGTTCACCGTGAAACGTTGATCGTGAAAAGTTCACCGTGAAACGTTGACCGTGAAACGTTGATCGTGAAACGTTCACCGTGAAACGTTCACCGTGAAACGTTGACCGTGAAAAGTTGACCGTGAAACGTTCACCGTGAAACGTTCACCGTGAAAGGTTCACCGTGAAACGTTGACCGTGAAACGTTGACCGTGAAACGTTCACCGTGAAACGTTCACCGTGAAACGTTCACCGTGAAACGTTGACCGTGAAACGTTGACCGTGAAACGTTGACCGTGAAAAGTTCACCGTGAAACGAGCGGCAGCAGAATGCTGCGCGCTGTGCGACCACTCACCTGAAAAATGTGATGAAAAACTGCACCAGGTCCATAAAGTTGCTGTGCTGCGAAAAGGCAATCTGGAAGAGAGAGGGACAAGAGGTGCAGTCCTGCATTAGTGACGGCAGGCTACACAATGTCGATTGTGCTGCTATAAGGTGGGGAAAAAACACAACAGATGAAAGACGGCGAGAAGCACTAAAAAAGCCACTCGTCATTGCGTTGGGAATTTGTCATGAATCCAGCCGGGCCAAATGATAACCAACTTTGTTCACGAAGATTCATCTGCACTCCGTTACGTTTGTAAACTTTTAAGAGACAAGCAAAAATGCGCACAGTTTAAATATAATGCAGGACAAAACGTACCCAAGCACACACATACTATGTTTGCACACCATTAGGTTATCAATTCAGTAGGTAACACACACGATTAAGGTCCCTACCCTGCCTTGTGCAAAGTAGAATATTAATTTCCTTCCCTCCCAAATGTTGTTGCAAAATTTCACCAAATAAAATGTGGGCACATGTACGTGCGTCAAAAATGTCTCACCCGCGTGTTTGGGAAAATATGATCTTCCCGACACAAGGCGTACTCTGCCGAAAAAAAGCGAGCATCCCAAAGACGCCGGGGCGACAGGGATACAGAGGCAGCCCGGGCACAGCCTCCCGGCAGCGCTCACAGCTGCCACGGCAAAGGCACCGGGGCCCAAGCGATGCCCAAGCGGAAGACGCGGGGGGTCTGGGGTGATGCTCGGGTACATGCCCGTTGCACGTAGGTACCGGGCTTTGTGGCTACAGGAGCAATTCCTCAAGCCAGGATGCGTGACTTGTCAAGGGAGGAGAGGTTGGTCTCGAAAAAAAAACGGACCACTCACCCGGCACAAAAGACAATGGAATAGAATTATAAAAGTAAGAAAATTTACGTGTTTTTTTTTTTTGCTTTGAGCACAGAAATGTTACGAAAATTGCTCTGAGCTGTGGTGTATGTGAGACAGGTGCAGTGCGGCGTAGAGCTAAGTGTAATTATGAACAGCGCCATCCCTAGTGATGGACACCCGCCGCCAACTCGCTGGAGCAAGTGCCATCTGCGTGCTTTTGTTCACACATGCCGAGCATTTCATAAGCTTGGTAGGGCCACAGGTGACACACGTGCGTAACGTTATAATGTCGCAAATGACTAGCCTGGCCCAGTGGAGTAGTATAACATTCTCCCGTTACAGATAAAGATCCCCCCCCCCGTATAGCGTTAACAGACTGCTGGGGCAAGTGCTGTTAGCGAGCACCTATAGTGTGGCAAGGCCCACGCCCGGCTGCCTGACTCCTGAGTGATGATTTTTACACTTTGTGCCAGGTACTCATTTGAGGCCGAGTCGACCTAGGGAATGCCCGGACCCACACACGCACACACTTAAACATACCAGGCTCATCAGTGTATCTGAAACAGCATCAAATGTAATGCACAAGCCAGGGTTTTTTTTTTACAGGGGAACTAGACCAGGTGTAGACTAGAGCAAGCAATGGGAATTGCATGGCAAATTTTTCATCATCCGTTGGAAATCATTTAATGCTGCGTCACACCATGGGAACACGGACATATTAAATCCCCGCCACGCTTTGCGGGTCATTTTTGGCGCAAAAAAAACAATCTTCAGTTAAACCGCCGCACTGCAACGTCAACAAAAGACAGAGAGACGTCGCTTTCCATTGCTTCCCGCCGACTAAATATGTCGTTGTCAAAAAAATAAAATAGCACACCAGTGGAATACTGATTGATGCCAGAACACAGCACAGTTTCTTTAGCAAGAATAGCATGACAGCCCTAAGGTTGAGTTGAGTGAAGAATGCTGAGATGGCCCACTATGAAACAGCCGTGTAGACTGCAGTTCACGAGCCGCTAAAATCTGCAGCATTATACTCTTTGGTTCTCTCGGTAAAGTCACGTAGGTTCAAATGTAAATTAAACTTAAATGTTCAGCTGACTCTCAGTAAAATTACTGTGGTGAGCAGTACTGCTGTGGTGGGCAGTACTACTGTGGTGAGTAGTATTACTGTGGTGAGTAGTATTACTGTGGTGAGTAGTACTACTCACCACAGTAGTACTACTGTGGTGAGTAGTATTACTGTGGTGAGTAGTACTACTGTGGTGAGTAGTACTACTGTGGTGAGTAGTACTACTGTGGTGAGTAGTACTACTGTGGTGAGTAGTATTACTGTGGTGAGTAGTACTACTGTGGTGAGTAGTACTACTGTGGTGAGTAGTACTACTGTGGTGAGTAGTACTACTGTGGTGAGTAGTACTACTGTGGTGAGTAGTACTACTGTGGTGAGTAGTACTACTCACCACAGTAGTATTACTGTGGTGAGTAGTATTACTGTGGTAAGTAGTACCACTGTGGTGAGTAGTACTACTGTGGTGAGTAGTACTGCTCACCACAGTAGTATTGCTGTGACTGTTGCCACCTGATGACGGAAGCTTGTGTTGCCTCCGAAACGTCGTGATTTGATTAACTTTCTTTTTATTTTTACCTACGTGACTTTACCGAAAGAACCAAAGAGTATGGATCATTGCAGTCACGAAAACTTCAAATCTAGAATCTGCAGCATTACTTTTAAGTTTGTGTGGGTTTTTTTTTTCCATAATCATTCGTAAAAGCGTAAAGCGTGTTGATACGTGAAATATTACAAAACAGACCGATGGTGCTGTGCAGAACGTTGCAATAAATTCTGAGTAAATGTTGATGTTGCATTCAAAGTTTCATAGAAAAATAATAAAAAAATAGAGTGCAACACCTTGCCTAAATAATATTAATTTGAAACAACACAAATAGTTTTTTTTTCACATGAAATTGAATGTGTAATTAATAAATTATGTTGCGCATGTTATTTTAAGATAACATTGTCAATATGAAAACAAATATATTCTTATTTGTTATTAAATTATGCTAATAGTGTTTAATACTGAGAGTCAGATGAACATTTAAGTTTCATTTACATTTGAATTTATCATTATTTTGACCATTTAAACCAATTCACGCTCACATTTCCAACGAAGGCTAAATGACTCAGATTCCCACGAGCAATTTGTAGGGATTCAGAATAAGGACCCAGAGATGTTCGTGGGCATCATTAGAGCCATGAGAGTGGCTCGCCAATGTTTTTTTTTATTTTAATCATGCACACCTGCCGTACCAAAAGAGAGATTAAAGGTGGAAGTCTTTACACCAGTGCCTTCATTAAGCGTGTGATGTCTTACAGTGGAATACACTCGAAAAATACGTGTTATTTTACTCCGTTGAGTCCAAAATCAATTAACAGTGCTAGCAGACACCAGGGCAACAGAACACCTGCTTGTCACTTAAAAACAGGGCTTTAATAATAAGTACCTTCCTCAATGACACGAAAACAGCTGGAGGTGAACAAAGCCACACCAATGCCATCTTGTTTACGTTCAAATATTTAAGCTGGCCGGATCTTTTGTGACGTTACAGCTTGCTTATTAAGGTGCCCCAGCTTTAACAAGTGGAGTAGTTCCTATTTATTCAAGTAGTCAGGGGAGAGTCTATGCAATTTTAAAATAAGGCTAAACTGGAATCTTCTAGAAATATTGCCAAAGGGGTCTCATTTAATATTCAACGTTTACAGCACAGAGCACATACTTGCAATGCCCCGGAGAAATGGCAGGGGTGAGGGTTGGGGGGGGGGTAATGATGGGAACTTGAAACTTCAATTTGTTCTCCGGCTATCATGCAACCCCCAGGCTGACGCGGTGGTAGTCAGAAAGCTTGCGGGTACATTACCTAAACACTAAATACGCATGCTGCTCTTTAACAGGAATGTCCCCTGTGCTTAATTGGGCATGTAAACTATTCACTGACATTATTTTTCTGTACGGCAGTATATGGCGTGCACGCAGAAATGAATTACCGCCTTAATATGCAATGTATTTATGAGCCGAGGTCAAAAAGGCCTAGCAGTGCTGGCCAAATTGAAAATAAAAATAAATCCAAGTACGTGTGTTCACTTCCACGCAACTAATTTTCTTGGGAAATTAAAAATTCAGTGTGGCCTTTTAAATGTTTAATTCCTTCCTTTAAATACAACACTCGTGTAAGCTGTTGCCAAATCCTATAGGACAGGTTGTCAGTCATAAAACACGCACGAGAGGTTGACCAAAGGGGCGAGACGCAGCGATGAGAGCTGCCGCGCATGCTTGTGGGACTAAGATGGATTGCAGCTTCACGGGACGGCAGGAGGAGGGCATGAGCCTGGGAAGGGCTCCTTGACCGGATGATGGTCTGAGTGGCCAGATTACTCTCACTCCCTGGTATCACAGACCTCCGTGCATGGACATTTGAGACTCGCAAAAAGTTCTCCAAGTGCACCGAGGTAATCCTTTTGGGTCAGTGAACAATACATTCGCACAAAATATCACACTTTTTTTCCTTACACACAATCTTTAAAGCCTAACCCATTTCCAAGGGGTAAAATGCGTAGGGAAAGAAAATGCCCCGATTGACATGCGGCTGAACACGAACAGTCAGCAGCTTGAAGAATTTGGTGTCTTGTGTTGAGAGAAGAGGACCCCCCTATTGAAGAAATAGCAAAAGTGGTTGTGGGTTTTTTCCTCTCTCTCTCTATTCCAGGGCATCCCCTGACGTGACATGAGGCCCTGCTGACTAGGCATTCCCAAAGTACAATTGGGATAGGATTGGTGATGCAAACAAATGCAATAAAAGTAAATACAAATAACATTTACAATCACATTGCAGAAATCCTCCTTTAATCTGGCTAGCATTGCAGTTTTACCGTACTGAGCTTCGGGAAAGGTGAGGGCCTCAGTTTGGTGTCAAATGTCACTTCTACCTTAACCCTTCCCTTGGCTTTGTAAGTCACAGAGCTGCCCTGAGATTGATGCTGACTGATTTGAGTCCAGAATATAAGTCCCTGGTATAAAATGGCAAATGTAGCATTTTCAACATGTGCACAGTACAAAATAAAGACGTTACTAGTGGTGCTCCTTTTATTTTAATTAGTAAAATAGCGTTTGGCATTTCACAGACACTGAATGTCAGTGTTGCAG